GCAGGTGTGCTCCATTTACTCGTTAGCCCAAGCCAGGTAATGAGAGCAGCACAGACTGCCGCTTCTTTTGCCAATGATTGGTTAAGTTAGGGAAGGCATGTGATGCTGTCTTGATCAACGTGACAGAACCCAAAGGGCTGAAGGTTGGGTCTGAGAAAGGCATCCGAGTTGTGATGAGGATTCGGGAACATAAATCCTATGAGTCTTGTTTATTCTGCCACTAGGAAGTCAAATCTATGCTGGCTAAAGACATGTGTCTGAGATCTTAATGTGAGAACTCAGTTCCAGACATCACGAGGTGGGAACTCACCTGCTTTCTAACAAGTCACAGCAAAGGCATATAACATAGCAACTACTGCCTCCAGTGCAAGCCTCCATCACCACGGGTACCTAACTAATCATGGCAGAATATAGCAGTGGTCAGGAGGACAGGCTTTGGTACCAGATGGCTTGGGTTAAACTTTCTGCTTTGCTTCCTCCAAGCTAAGTTTCTGTAAACAAATTATTTAACCTTTGTCTCTGCTTGCTCATTTGTCAAATGATCTAGTATCAGTCATGCTCACCAGTGTCCCAAGCCATTCAAATCAGTCACTCTTGGTATCCCCATGAAGGTAGGCTCTTTAGGAGGCTAAATCCCATCCCAGAAAATGCATCATCATGCAGCAATGCCTTTAGAGGGAGACGGTTCTAGGATGCATGAACATGGCTTATTCTTAAGGAGAAGGCCACATTTATCCTACTCAGCTGCTTGGTCAGGGAGAGGCACATGGCCAGAGTAATGTCAACCACCAGCTGGCTACTGAGCTGAGGAGAGCTCTCCTAGGAAAACCGTGTGGGCACAGGCAGGTTTGAGAAGCCCAAAAGTGGAGCAGCCTGGCTCTTCTGCTAGTGTGGTGGTTACTTTTATGTGTCAACTTTACCAGGCATCTTCTGAGTGTACCTGGGAGGCTATTTCTGGAATAAAGGGGTATTTGGATTAATAGAATGTGCACAGCAGATCCCAGCCCAGTGTGGGTAAGGGCCTGGATGGTGTTAAAAGGCAGAGGAAGGCCAGAGCTCTCTGTGCTGACCACTTGATCTAGGACATTCATGTCCTACCCTTGGTGCTCCTGGGTCTTGGACTAGAGTCTGCACCATTGTCTCTTGGCTTATAGCCCTCCCTGCGTCTTCAGCTTGCTGGTGGCAGTGTGGGGGACTTGTCAGCCTCCATTATGGTCCCTTAACCATCCCATTCCGTATCTGTTTTCCAGTGGTCCTGCTCCTCTAGGGAACTCTAATATAGCTTGGTTACTATAGCCAGGAAATAAAGATTCTACAATTGTTAATAAGAAGAGGCAGAAGCGATGGCTGTGGTGTGCAGAGCTGCCATACACTGGTTCCTGGCACAGATGTTAGATGTTCCTCGCATTGAGAGAGACTGTACATGTGGTTAAGGTTAGTAGAAGTTTGGGGATGGGAAGAATCATTAATAGAGTGCCTGGATAGCCTCGGCTCTGAAATCAGAGTTCCTCCAGCTGCAGAGAGCCGGGGGAGACATAGCCATGAACAACAACAATTTGGTGATGTTCTTCAGGAAGGTTTTCCTGGACTACTAAAAATATGCCATAAAAAGGTTTGGTCTGGACATCTTAAAGGAATGGCCAAAAGCTTCATCACACACTGCCTTTAAGACAGAGAAAGAAGTCGGACGGTGGTGACACATGCCTTTAATCCCAGCAATCAGAAGGCAGAGTCAGGTGGATCTCTCCAGGCCAACTTGGTCTATAGATCGAGTTCTAGGACAGCCAGGGCTATACAAAGAAACCCTGTCTTGAAGAACCAAACTAAACCAAACAAGACAGAGAAAGAGGACATGACCTAAGCATGCAGGGAGGCTAGAGAAGGCAAGAAAACACATTCTCCCCCAGGGCCTCCAAAAGAAAATGGCACCCTACCTGCTGAGGTCATTTTAGCTCCAGGTGTCAGTCAGCTTTACATGGCTGTACCAAAGTATTCTTAAAAATAAACAGGAAGAAAGAATTCAGAGGTTTTTGTCCATAGACACTTGGCCCTGTTGCTTTGGCCATGGGGTGGGTGGTTCAGCACATCATGGCAAAAGTGTGTGATGCATGAGGCTTGCTTACATCTGGAAAATACACAGAAAAGGGCCAGGGTCTCAGTAGCTCCCTGAAGGACACATCCCCAGGGACTTAACTTCCTCCCACTAGGCTCTCTCTACCTTTTAAAGAGGTTGTTGAACAGGTCTTTAACCCATTGACCTTTGAGAAATATTCAAGACCCAAAGTATAGCATTCAGCAAGTTTTGCGTGGGTTGGTGTCTAAACTCTCTAAGGGTAAGATAACAATCATTCATAGTAATTTGTTTCAGCAGCAACGAACAAAGATACAAAGACCAGCAGCCTAGCAGTCATGTGATGTGTGCTCCCTGGACTCTAGCCTAAGGGAAAAGAGTGAATAGCTGTCTGTTTCTTCTGGCTCCAAAAACCTGAACTTATTGCCCCTAAGAAGTCAGGATCTGAAGTCAGGGAAGAAGCTGGACATTCTCTTTTGTTTAAAGACTCTGCTGTGAATGTCTACAAATTCCTTCAAGTGGACCCACCACAGCCACATGCTCACCAAGATGGGCTGATGTTAGATGGAGTTGGTTTGCAGTTACAGCCACGTTTTATCCTAAATCAAGGCTGCGTGACACAACACTGAGCCGCCCACAGGACTGTTGAGGGGGACACAACAGCCACTTGCTCACTTTGGGCACATGGCTCCAGACAGGCCTCTTCTTCCTCTCCTCTAAACCAAAGTAGCTCTCACTGTGGGCACAGCAGATGGATCTGAAAGGCTTCTGAGGCTGAGTAACACAGACTTCCATGTCACTGTGCGCCCCCATCCCTGTTGCCTTCGGATGCTCTGGGTGGTGAGATTTTTGCCTTTCTCAGGATGCGGTCCATCTCCAGCCAGATGTTTTCTAGGATCAGCCTTCTTGAACAGTGGCCAGGCCTTTGGAGGTCGAATGTAGCAGGGAAACTTTTCCCATGTCGCACTTTCTATTTTGTCTCATTTTTCAGATACAAGGGAAATGGCCATACTGAGGAGGGATATTAATAGCAGGCCAGATGGACAGATGGGAGGGTTGACAAACCCACTGGGCAACCTTCTAAAGCATTCTAGGGAAACCTATTTATGGGATTTTTTTTTCATGATCTAGAAAAATCTCACTGAAGCAGGTGAAATGAGTTAAAATGAATTCATTTAAAGAGCCCAGAAGACTCCAAGGCTCTGAGGGGAATGTGTTAGGTCATTTCATTCACGGGACCAGACGTAATACCAGTAAAGGAAAAAGGAAAAATGATGAAGGCCTTGGGAAGGTCAGGTTTCTCCCCGGGGCCTTTCCCACTTATCATCAAGCTGGAAAACGCTGAAACAGATTGTTCACAAGAAGGACCACAGGCTAAATGCTGTGGTATTCTTTCCCGGAACTGACCTCCAAGTCAGAGGGCAAGTAATTGGCAGCTGGACAATTAATCAAGTGCTCTGTATAACCACCACTTATTAGGCTTTGGCTCCATGAGCGCAGAAGTCTGCACTCGGCTCTCGAGGAGCTCAGGCTGAAGCTGACACAGCCCTTCTCACCCAGCAGAGGGAAGGTGGCTGTGGGCCCAGGGCTCCGTGCATAGGGCTGCTGGGAGCGTCTCGTTTAATTCAGCTAACCCATGAGCTGTTTCCCTTCCTCTGAAGCTGTGGCTTGAATATATCTCCACAAAGCTCATGCTAGAAACTTAACAGCCAAAGTTCAAGCGTTAGCAGGTTTTGGAGGTGTTTTGGGAGGTAAGTGGGATTGAGTCATGAGGGTTGGGTTCCCCATGATAGCATGGGTGGCATCACAAGGGGAAGTGACCAGGGTCAGCATGCTAATTCTGTTTCCTCATGCCCTCTGCCAAGTCATGATGTGGCAAGAATATCTTACCAGGCACCAGTGATGGGCTCTCGGGTCCAGACTTCGAAACTGAGAACTCAATAAACCTCTATTCTTCACAAGGTACCCAGTTTGTAGTATTAAGTTGTACCAACAGAAACTGCCATCTGTATGGGGAATCTGGGTTCAGAAAGGAAGACGCCCTGGGGTTCAGTGCTATCAGGCGGCCACTCCAAACCCAGTTTTCCCTACCTGTAAAATGCATATGCAAAGGTGGCCAAGACATAGAATGCCCACGGAGGGTGCTTGCTTCATTCATGTGGACAGCCAGGTCCATAGGACAGACCCTGTCTGATAAGCCTCAAAGACCAGCAAATATGGAGAGGATTCCCAAGTGCAGAGACGCCAGCCATCTGCGAAAGGCCCACTATGCGTGTGTGTCAGCCACCAGGGATACGCACAGCAAGGCACTCTGCACTCAGGAGGTCCAGGACCATCAGATGTTCAGCAAACAAGACCTAGCATCTCCTGGCACAGCTTTTCCTGTCCCTTTAGACCGAGGAGGAAGTGGTAGCCCGGGAGCTTACCCAGCGTTTGTAAGTCTTGCCATCGACCATTACCCTGAGATGTTGTGGAGGGCCTCAGGAGAAGGCCAGGCAGTGGGGCTCACTTGAAAGAGGAATGATGATTCTAGGGGGTCCCTCTTCTGTGGCCTGGCTAACCTACGAATGGCAGCTTCCAGATCTACTAGTTACATAAAAACCAAAAACAACAACAAAAACCCAACTCACTTGCCTCTTCAAACTTGTATGTGGTTCCCAGGGTCCAGGCAGCCCACTTCCTGTCCTAAGTCCATTGGCACAGCTTGGCAGAATCCAGGTGCTGGAATCCATCTAACGGCCTGTAGCCACAGCAAGACAGCTACAGACGGGAAGGGTAGAGGTACCACCTGTAAAGCAGATGAGGTGGGGACCGTGGCATGACAGGGAACATGCAGGGAGAGGATGGCGTTAAGCAGACTCAAAGCAAGTTTGGTGCTTTGAAAAAAAATGCTGATAAATGTCACCAGGTGAAAGAACCAAACTGAGACAGAAACAAAATATATTTATTAGAAGTGTTACACAGCGGCACAACTTACACTTCCATTAGGAGCCTTGTCCACCCTGACAGCATGTCACATCTGGACAGAGCCTGGTGCTATCTAGTGTGCTCTTGATGGAAAGGAGGCCACAAATGTATCAAGTGCATTCAACTAATGTAGTTATAGTCAGCGAGCTACTTGGGGTGTTCCAGATTCAGAACCCCGACCTCGGTCGGAGGACCTAGACATCCAGCGGCTTTAGCAGATGCTGGAAACACTTCTCTTCAAATGGCTGGGGGTTCTCTGTTTCACCTGTGTTGGTGGTGGGGCACCTCAAACTGGAATACTTAGGAACTGCTGGATTTAATGGGTGGGTTTGTCCCTAAGGGTCTCAGCTCTGTTTCCACAGGCCAGTGACAGGTTGCAGGGGAGAAAAAGGTCCCAGACTGCCAGGCATGTGGCTGGTGCTTGAAGGAAACAGGAAGCGAATATGCCAGATGTTCACTACTGCTAAAGCTGATTGTTTTGGGACAGCCCCACCCCCTCTCAGGGTCTCTTCTGCCCAGATGGGTTCCAAATTCCCAGGCTCAACTGATTCTCCTGCCTCCATCTCCAGAAAAGCTGAAGCCACAGGCGGTGGCTCTGTGCTTGGCAGGGCATGGGTTTCCGTCTCCTGGCACAGCTTGTATTCTGGATGGTGTACACAAGCTGAGGAGCAACTGGATGAAAATGAGAGCTAAGGACAAGCATGGATGCTGAGAAGGGACTGGGGAGAGGGCTGTTCCTCAGAACATTGTCCCTGTGGGCAGTGGCCTCAGCACTGCCATCCATCATGAGTTCAGACACCACCCAGTGCCAAGAACCACAGACTTCCCTACTTCTTAACTTCTCGGGGTCTTGTATTCCACAGCTCTCTTTCGTGCTTAGCTGAGGGCAGATGGAAAAAAAAAAAAAGAAAAAAAGAAAAAAAAAAAAAACAAAAAACAAAACCAAACAAACAAACAAATAAAAATTATGGCTATGGAGGCTTTTGTAGTGAAGAAAAGCAAACAGGAAAAAAAAAAAGTACCAAAGCTGGACATGGTATCTAATCTCAGTACCTGAGAGGCAGAGGCAGGAAGATCAGGAGTTCAAGGAGAGCCTGGGCTCCATGAGCTCTTCTTTCACAAACCCCAAACAAAGCAAAACAAGCAAACAAACAACCAGCCCATACCAAACCAACCAAACAAACAAACAAAAAAACCAAACAAAAAACAACAACAACAACAAAAAAGAAAATGTAAGGCACCCCCTGTGCTGGTGTCTTATCTGGTCAGTTTTCCATATTCACTTTTGTGCCCTACAGCTCTTCCCAGACCCGCACGCAGCAGGGTGACACCAAGATGGAGAACAGGGGTTTTGTCGGCCATGCCTGCCCTCTGCCTCGCCCCATCCCCAGCAGTACCTGCTTCTGTTGGGAGGGATGTCATTCCTCTTCTACACCCCTGGCAAGAACTGTAGCAGTCAGGGGAAAGCCAAAGGAGACTACAGGCATGAACAGCTTCGGCTGGCTAGTCCTCAGCGACCTGGGTTCCCAGAGGCTGGGCCCTACAGCGCCTCCACTTACAAGAAAACTACAGTGTCTGGAGACCAGCTTGCAGACTGCTCTGCTGGGAGCTCCCAGATTTTCAGACAGCACTCTGAGAAGGCCCAGAGACAGACTAAACTCCCTACACAGCTCCAGAGATTACTCGTGGAGAAACAACACTCAGCTGTGTGGCGAGGCGCTTCTCCTCGCAGGGCGCTTCATCAGTTACGTCGACACAGCCTGAGCGCCAGCTTTCAGAGGAACACATTCATCAGAAAGGAAGGTCTGAGCCCTAAACGCCTACCTGGAGATAGCAGGGCTCGTTTCACAGCTGACGGTGGTCCCTAAGCTGTTTCTCAGGAGTTCCTGTGGGGAGCACATGGGGGTGGGGGATGTGTCTTGCCCCTCTGCATGGCTGTCCATCAGCTCTGGAGAACTGTGAGACTGTGCAGGCTCCAGTCCAGTCATTCTGACTCACCTGAGCTGAAGGATCAGGCATGCAGTTCCTAGAGGAGTCCTAGGGGAAGTGGATGGAGCCACAGCCAAAAACTACACATGGAGTCTGAAGACAGGTGGGGCCTATGCCCCCCCCAGGCTATGTTAGATTGAGAATCAGTGCTGTGCACCCAGCTGCCGCCCTCAGAGGGATGGACCGGAGGGAGGGACAGAACCCAGGTCCTCCAAGGATAGGGACTGGGCCAGCAGAGTGGCTCAGATAAGCAGAGATTCACTATAACTATGGTGGTCATTCTCAGGGGTTGCTGTGAGCATGGTCCTTTATCAAAGGACCAGCACAAGGCTATTTGGCACTTAGAACAGTAATGGGTGTTTGCGCACACCCAACTGTCTGAGAGGGGGCCACCCTCAATTGCTATGAAGTGCATATTTATTTGTCTAAGAAAAACAGACAAGAGCCTCTAGACTTTAGGGTCTAGAGCCACTGGGCTTGAGTGCTCAGGCAGGGACCATGCTGCGTCCTAGGGAACCAGCAGTGTATCGGGGAAGTGCGTTTGTTCTGCTGCAGACAAACAGCTTCTCTCACTAGGCAAATGTAAAAGGCCCAACAAGTACCAAGCCTGTCCTCCAAGCCTGTGGAACTGTGCAACTGTGCAATGGGCTCACCAGCACAGGCTGCTTCACACACGTGAGTGACCTCTGTTGAGTTCTACGTGTTGGGCAGATGTGTGTGAGTGGGACTGTAAACAAACAGTGGGGCTGAAGGTGCTGTGGAGAATGGGCATAGTGCCCATCAACCCAGACACCAGCGCTGTACTCAGGCAGTGTGGGTAATGTGTGTGCCAGCTGGCTTCCCATGGACCTTCAGCAAGGCACCCACAGGCTCCTTTGCACACACGAGGAATCAAATAGGGACAGTGAGACCTGTGCAGTGCAACCAGTCCTCGGTTACCTAGAGCTGAGCATACTACTTCCCTAATCAGTGCATTTCCAGGTTGCTAAGAAGCAAAAGCTGCTTTTGTTTTTCTGTTCTGTAGGGTGCTATTTTATTTGGGGGAGGGGGCTAGGCAGTTGGCAAGGACAGAGTTTTGAATGAAGCAAAGGCAGAGCTGTTTTAGTACAGGAGGAAGGAGAAGGAAAGACCCGCTGGAGTGCTGCTTGTCAGCATGTAGGCCGTGTGTGGGTAGTAAATGGGCCTGGCAACACTCTGGAATCTCACAGAAGAGGTGAGAGGCGGGGTCTGCCTCTCTAGAAACTTCCCACTGGGAGCAACGATTCCTGAGCACAGGCTCCAGACACGTTTGCATCTGAGATGGGGACATGATGGAGCTGGCTCTGCTTCTCCATGGAGTGCTGGTCCACTTGGCTTGAGCCTTCCTTGGAAATCCAGACGGCTAGGTGGTTGGCACAGCAGGTGTGGTGGACAGTGAGCAGGGCTTCCAGAACAAACTTGAGGCCAAGTGGCAGCTGCTGGGCTTGGGGCTGTTTATGTCTCAAAGTACTTGTAGATCTGGGCCACGTACTGCATCACACTCTGCCAATCAGGCCGGTCGGTGTACAGCATCTCACTGAGCTCCTGCAGGGAGGGAGCAGTCAAGAGCGACATCTCAGACTCCTTTTACCGAGGGACTTTGATACAGGTCAGGGTTCGTCCTGACAGAAAACCTTGCACCGACAGGAACCAAGGGGCAGGTACACACAGCCCACAATAAAATGCTGAGTTAGGCTTTTCAGCAGCCTTCCCTGGGAGGGATGTCCTTTCAAAGGCCAAAGACTTTAAACACCTTTCCGACTCTTTACAAACGGTTGCTGCACTTTCACTTTAGAAAATGGTTTAGCTGGGTGGTGGTGGCACACACCTTTAATCCCAGAATTTGGGAGGCAGATGCAGAGGCAGGTGGATCTCTGCATTTGAGATCAGCCTGGCCTACAGAGTGAGTTCCAGACGTCCAAAGCTACACAGAGAAAACCCTGTCTTAAAAACCAAAACCCAAAAACGAAAACCAACAACAACAACCAAACAACAGCCAAAACCAAACCAAACCAAACCAACAAAACCAAACCACCACCACTACCAGCACTGCCAACAACAAAAAGGAAATGGTTTCTATTGTTCTAATGTGCGTGTGAATGTGTCTGGTCTCCTAGGCTCCCACCAGAGTGGACATGTTTTTACACATGTTGTGTCTTTCCAGTGGGCATTCTCATGTATAATTTCCCACACGGCTGTACTCCAGTTGGTGTGCACTGTCTGTAGTTTCCCTTTGCTTCCACTGCATTGCGCTTTGCACTGGGTGGTAGTATTATCTCTTTCTGCAAACTAGTTCCTGAAGTTTGCATGGGTTTCCCACAGATGCCCTGAGCCAACTTAAACTGCGTCTTACTAGTGTCATTACCATTTAATATCTGGGACTTTCTCACTCTTTTTTCCTTCCTTCCTTCCTTCCTTCCTTCCTTCCTTCCTTCCTTCCTTCCTTCCTTCCTTCC